TGATGCTGCTTGGCCTGCTGTGTTCATCCAGCCTTGCACCTTGTTGTCTCGGATTCTCCAGCATCTGCAGTTCCTACTATCTATGTATACTATATGTTGCGATGAAAGGTGTGAGATTTATGTTAAAAGTTTTAGAATTTAGATTTGAAAATTATGGCATATGGGTGTTGGCTAATTCCATGACACATTCCAAAAAAGCCAGATCATTCAATTCTTCTGGAACAGTGAACTGATCCAATATGCATCAGATAGCATACAGTACATAAAAGTAACTTGATAACCATCAGAGATAGTGGGAATTGCCAATGCTGGATAATCTGAGATAATAAGGTGTAGAGCTGGATGAACACAGCAGGTGGAGCAGGACAGCTGATGTTTCGGGTCTAGACCCTTCTTCAGAAAATAGCTTCGCAGAGGGGTTAAAATTGATTCGGAGAAAGTGGGAACTGCCACTGCTGGAGAATCTGAGATAACAAGGTGTAGCTGCTTGGCCTGCTGTGTTCATCCAGCCTTGCACCATATAGTATACATAGATTTGTTTTCCCAACAAGTGAATAAATTAGGTTTTAAAAGGCGAACTCTCAAAGGGAAGACTTTTCAAAGCAAACAAAGATGCTAGAAATACACAGCACATCTGCCAGGATATGTGGAAAGAGACAGTTAATATTTCAAGTTGCATACCTGTAAAAAGAAAATCATTGATAGACTACCCTGGAGAATAATGAAAAGATTTTGACTTGCTTGGTACAAAAGCAATATTACACTTATTTCCCCATTGATCCAAAACTAAGTATATTATCAGGGAAGGACTTAGCCCTCCATCTTGCTGTCTTCAGAATTAAATATACAATTTCACAGTCAAAATACTGGCAGATAGAATTCATATGAGATTCCAGTCCTTAACTAAAACTCCTTTCATCTCACAATTTATACACAAATAGAATCAGCATGCCAGGTGCCAACTCAGCTTTCTACACGTAAAAAGTTTACTAAATATGAAAACTTTTCAAAGTTGACAAAGCCTTAAAATTCAGTGTAAACGTATGAAGCAACATCTCAGTGTAAACAATTGCTCTCCATTACGAATTCCAATTAAACCTGTGTTCTGAGATTCAGTATCTAAGTAATTTTAGACTTGGTAGATATCAAATTATACTCAAGAGGTGACTTATGGTTTCTGTAGCACTCCATGCACTGGGGTTTTCCTCATCATTTATGCTGTAGGGTAGTTGGAAGGTTGCTATAAATAACAGCTAACTATTGTCACTGTACTATTTTTCACTAAGAGGGCAGGGAGGTAAAACAGTCATGGCTTTGTGTTAACACATTATGGACCTGGAGGAACACAGCTGGCCAGGCAGCATCAGAACAGCAGGAAAGTTGACGTTTCGGGTTGGCCCCTTCTTCATTATGTTCCTCCAGCTCCACACTTAGCTCTCACTCCAGCATCTGCAGTTCTTACTATCTCAGTCATGGCTTTGTGTTGCATTACAATTCTTTTGCTTCCAAGAAAGTGGTTCTACTGTTCCTCAGAATGGCAGCTGCTTTAATACTCCACAAGAATGTGCAAAAGCTACACATGTACCTTGCTGTTCAGTCATTTAGCTTGTTGTGAATGGAGAACAATGACCAAGACAACATGGTTACAACGCCCCCTCTTAAATTTGGTAATAGGAAGTGGGTATCACAGGCTAGGCCAGTATTTACTGCCTAAGTATTGTGGAGACAGTGCTGCCTTCTTAAACTACCATAGACTAAGGTGTAGGGACACACAGTACTGTTGGGAAGGGAGTTTAAGATTTTTGGCCCAATGAGTAAAGAAATGGCAGAATACTTCCAAGAATAGATAGTGAGAGACCAGGAGAAATTGTTGCAGGTAGCAGTGCGCCCAGTTATTTGCTGCCCCTATCCTTCTGGGTGCACGAGGTCATGGGTATGGTAGGTGCCTTCAGAGGAGTCTTGGTGAGTAACTATAGTGCATTTTGTAGATGGAACACATGGCTGTCACTGTGCAGTGGTGACAGAAGCACGTGTTGAAGGGAGTGAATGAGGTGTCAATAAAACAGGCTTCTTTGATCTGAAGAGGGGCCAGGGATCATCTGATTCTGATCGATACCAAACTAAACACTCTGAGCAGGTTATTCCTTTGCAAATGCCACTTCAAAGCTAAGGTCAGCAACTCCTGCCACGACTTTTCCGATGATTGAGACAACACTGCTAAGGTAGTAACTGGTCAGGTTGGATTTACCCTGCTTTGTGTACATAGCTGGGCAACTTCCCATATTATCCAGAGATTCTAGTATTACAGCTGTACTGAAATAGCTTGGACAAAAATGTGACTAGTTTTGGAGCACAAGTCTTCATTTTTTTGCAGCCAAGATGTACGTCAGAGGCTTTGCAGTGTCTTTTAACTGGTGAAGGCTGGCATCTGTAATGCTGTGGATAAAGGAGGTGGCAGAGACGGATCATTCACTTGGCACTTCTAGCTGAAGGTGGAAATAAATATTTCAGCCTGGTCTTTTACACTGATCTGTTGACTTTCCTCATTGAGGATAGGAACATTTATGGAGTCTCATCTTCCAGTGAATCGTTTAATTGCCCACCATGTACAGCTTAGATCTGATCCATCGATTGTGGGGTCGCTTAGCCTCATCTATGGCGAGTTGCTTTTTCTGTCTAGCACAAAAGTATTCTTATGTTGTCACTTCTCCAGTTGACAGCTTATTTTTAGTTAGGCTTAGTGCTGCCCTGGCATGCTCACCAGCACTCTTTATTGAACTGGGGTTGACCTCCCAAGCTTGATGGCAATAGTAGAGTGGGGGGATATGCTGGATTCATTAGATCATTGATTGTGGTTAAGACAGTTCTGTTGTTGCTGACTGTCCACACCAGCTCATGGATGTCCAGTTTCGGATTGCTAGATTTGTTCTAAGTGTGTCCCACTTAGTCCAATGGTAATGCACCACATGTTGGATGACATCCTCAACCTAATGACAGGACTTTAGTTCCACAAGGACTTCTACAAACACCATCATGGCTGGATAACTGCAGCAGGTAGACTGGCAAGGATGAAGTCAAGTAGATTTTTTTTCCCTTCTATTGGTTCCCTCAGCACTTAACATAGCTGCTCTAAGCCTAACCCTAACCCTATCGCAGCTACTCTAATTCTATGTCCTTTAAGGCTCAGACAGTAACGGTGCTACCAAGCCACACTGGTGACGAAATTCAAGTTCCCCACGTAGGGAACATTTTGTGCCTTTGCCACCTTCGGCGCTTCCTTTAAGTGGCATTCAACATAGAAGAGCACTGACTCAGGCAAGGTGGGGGCGATGGGAAAGAGTGGGTGGAAATCAGGAGGTTTCCTTGTTCACATTTGACCTAATGCCATGAAAGTGGGCAGGGTCTGGTCTTCCCTCTGGTGTGGCAGGATATAGCCAGGTGATGGTGATGTGTGGCACATTGTAACGTATGATTTTGAAAGTATGACTATTTCAGGCCATTGGCTAAGCCATGAGACAGTTCTCAATTTTAGCAAGGACTACTTTGGAAGGTTGACAGGGCCGAGTTTGTCACAGTAACTTCCAGTGCCTAATTGATGCCATTTGACTTACCCCATTTCATTCCTTTCTTTTCTTTAGACTTTGTAGTGGTTTGATGCAATTGAATGGCTTGCTTGGCCATCTCAGGGAGCTCTTAAGAGTCAACCATATACCAGTGGGTCCAGTCACATTCAGACCAAAACAGATAAAGGATCAGAGATTTCCTTCCTTAAAGGACATTATTGAAGCAATTGGTTTTCATGGCAATGGACCATGGTTACATGCTCACCATGAGGCTGTTTTTTTGTTCCAGATTTTAGTGAATTTTTAATTCAATAAGTGCCATAGTGGAATTTGACCTCATGACCCCAGAACATTAGCTTGAGTTTCTAGATTACTAGTCAAGTGACATTATGTCACTGACTTCCCTCCTTGTGCTCATTCTGTTTAGTTTTGCTTTAACAAACCAAAATACTGCAGATGCTGGGGAATCTGAAACAGACAAAATATTGGACATTAAAACAGATTTTAATCCAATATTTCCTCTCTCTCCAGATGCCTCTAGACCCAGAGATTTTCTAGTACTTCATTTTTACTTACTTTTCCTTTTGTACTTTTTCTTAATGCTATCTTTCTGCCCTTTAGTATGTTTTTAATAAATTCAGCTTATGTCCTTCTGTTTTTATCAAGTTTTTTTCTCCCTACCCATTTCCTTAATTGGTTAAGATGGGTCATTGTACATACATAAGGTCTGTTTCCGTGCTCTATGACTCTTCAGTCCAACCAGTCCATGCCGAACATAATCCCAAACTAAACTAGTCCCACCTGCCTGCTCCTGGCCCATACCCCTCCAAACCTTTCCTACTGATCTATCCATCCACATGTCTTTTAAACATTGTAATTGTACCTGCATCCACATCATCAGGAAGTTCATTCCACACACGAACCAACCTCTGTGTAAAAACATCTACATGTCTTTTTTAAATCTCTCTCCTCTCATCTTAAAAAAGTGTGCGTCCTAGTCTTGAAATTCCCCATCTTAGGGAAAAGACAACTACCATCAACTATCTATACCTCTCATTATTTTATAAACTTCTATCAAGTCACCTCTCAACCTCCTACGCTCCAGTGAAAAAGGTCCCAAGCCTATCCAGCTTTTCCTTATAATTCAAACCTTTCATGCCTGGCAACATCCTGGTAAATCTCTTCTGAACCCTCTCCAGCTTGATAATATCTCTTCTATAATTGGGTGACCAGCACTGGACACAACATTCCAGAAAAGGCCTCACCAATGTCCCGTACAACCTCAACATAATGTCCCAACTCATCTCCTCAAAGGACTGAGCAATGAAGGCAAGTGTGCCAAACGCCTTTTTAACCTTCCTGTCTATGTGATGCAAACTTTAAAGAATTATGTACCTGCACCCCTAGGTCCCTCTGTTCTAGACTACCCAAGGCCTGCTATTAATTACATAAGCCCTACCCTTGTTTGTTATACCAAAATGCAATACCTCGCAATACACCTATTGAGTCAGATGACCATTTCAGCAACATACACAATAAATACAAATGACTGATTCATTTCACTTCTAGAGATTAAAGTTTTTCAAAACTGATACTGAATCCAAATGTGATCACAATTTTTGGTTGTGGCATTTTATGTTTATTTATATTGTGAAATGACAAATTACAAATAGCACATACTCGGGTGAAACAAAATTACTACTTACTTAAAATACAAATCTTTGAAGGTGAAGTGTGTCTCCACTATGCCTGTAGTTTTCACTCTGGTCCTCAAAACATCTTGTTGAGTTGGAATGTAGCCTTGTAAGGAAATTCTATCCAAATCATTCAAATAACTGAAGAAAATGATTTACAATTGATAAATTTAGTGAAAATATACTATTAAATCTAATCCAATTAATTTTCTAAGAGATGGGCCAATGGTCACTACTTTTAATCACTTGTTATACATAATAGCTTAATTATTGTTGACTGAAGAGTAACTGACAGAATCTAATGAGAATAGACGAGATAGAGCTCAACAACACAAAATTTCCTACAATTTCACACTGACTTGTCAGACCAAATCAATGTGTTAGTTTTTGTGGAAATTATAAAAATCACTTAAGGTATATAGAACATAGAATATAACAGCGCAGTACAGGCCCTTCGGCCCTCGATGTTGTGCCGACCTGTGAAACCAATCTGAAGCCCATCTAACCTAAACTATTTCTTTGATTAGAGGTTTGACAACTCATTGCGCTGCACAAATGCAAATTACCCGTCTGGTATGCTGTGCTACTACTGCATGTCTCTAGGCTATTCATGCACTTCAACTTTAAAAAGTAATGTTACATTTAGGTCATAAAACATTTTTGTGCACAATATCTTGCAACCTTTATTCTAGCTATCAATTTTGGTGGCTTTGACAGTTTCTAACAATTGAGAACCAGTGCTTTTCTACACAAAAGTAAGTGCATGATATTGGTTTCCCATTTGGAGCAGAATGCTCAGTTGTTTGGTACAGTCAATGCAATTGAATTTTAAAAGAAAGGCTATAGGGAAGGAACAGGAGAAAGTGTATTGGTAAACATCTAGCCTGGACAACATTTTATTAGCTAATGATAATCTGGTTCACAATCACCATTTCAGTCAGGAGAACAAAACAAAATGGATGATGCCATACCATTTCCGTCAAACTATCATCAATCCACGAAAACAAAAGACTCACAATGACATTGTTTTATACAAAGCTACTTTTGATTAAAAATCTGTCATGGCTGTGTATGTCCTACAAACTACAGTAAATAAACATCAGAACTTTTATAAGTAAAATTACAATCATGTCCACCTCTCTGGCTGACTACGTTCCTTTAGGATGGAAGATGATCAATAAAGGTTAAGTACTTGGCCCAAATAAAACTTACCTATGAGAGCACCACCAATTTTATTGGTCCTACCTCTACGAAGATTAAAGTTTCTCACATCTATTACATTGCCTTTGTTACAAGCTGTGACAATTGCTTGCTCAATGTTATAACTACCGTTAGGGGGAACGAGAAATTACTCCCAACACTTTCATACTCTTGATATTCTTAATCTCCTGATTTTCCAAACCAAGATCCTCCCTTACAAACATCCTTATGTCATCCTTTATCAGGGCGATACCCCATCTTTGCCATTTTGCCTTTCTTTTTAAAAATGTTGTGTAACCAAAGACTATTTATTTCATAACCTTGCAATCGTGTCTCTGTGATGGCGATTAGGTCTAAACCATGTAACTCTATTTGTGCATCAGTTCATTCATTTTTTTGAGGAAACTTTCTGCATTTAGATAGTGATTTCAATTTTGTTGTTTACTACTATTCGTTGCACAGACCTTAGTTAGATGCATTATGACCATGAAACTTCCTGGCCCAATCAGGTTTTCTTTATTAACAAAATAATTTGGTACTTAAAAAATGATACTTACTATGATGCAGAGTCATTCAGCTGATATTCTCTGGATCTACCAAAACAAGCCTGAACACCACCATCTTGCCACAATCGTTTGATAACTCCTGCAAGTTCTGCTGTCATGATCCCTTCCTCTGTGGTTCCCGCTAAGACAAACAACTGCCGGGCATCATCCTACACACAAACAGTACTTTAAAAGTTGGAAACTACCTTAAAAGGTATGGCACCATACATTTAAACCAGTAAATAAGAGACTTTACTTTGCACAATTAACACAAATATTTCATACATCACAACTACCTAGAAAAATGTTATTGCTTAATTAAAAAGAATGAACAGTAGTTGCAAACCAAGAATTAAACAATAGATTTGAAATGAAAAAAATGTTTAGCAACTGAAACTACAATAAACATGATCCATTACAGCATAGTTAAAAACTGAACCACTGTTCCAATGTTTTAATCTGTGCCTGTTAAATCCGTTACTTAGGGGTTCTCCTATAACGTGTGTTCCGGCAACGTGAATTGGCTATAACGCGATTGATGAATAGAGGAACGCTATTTGTAAAATGCGAACTTGTGCTGGCTGCAAGGCGATTCCATCGAGTATGGATTGCTCATTTCCAGCACTATTTTGAATACAATGTTACTCAGGTTTACAACACATTTCAATCCTACAATTAACTTCAATGCCAATGGGCTACATAGGAAAGAAAGGTCAGATTCCTCTGCTTCACTTAAATCTATCCAGAAGTCTGTGCCGATTGAATATCAGGTCAGATCAGCATGTAAATGGAGGAGGGAATTTTACTAAAAATTGCCAACGTGTCAATTTCTGGGGAGTATGCTGGCTGAGAGCACTCTCTCTCAATTTTGCACTGCTCACCTCTTTTGGATCATGCTCGCACTATTATGCAGTACTGTCCATTGCTGGAATTTCCAGTGGCAGAACTCTATTTAAAGCCCAGCTGTCACTTCATTGCAAATGAAAGGTCAGATTCATAAATGTACTACCTCTTCGCAAGATCATCTGTCCGATAAATTATTATAACTACAGTTATAAGAATGAAGCTACACAGGTGAGGAAGAATTTTGGAAAATATAATTATGCGTCCTTTGCACCCCCAACCTTGCGTTTCCCGTAGACCCCATTATTTATATGCCTCTATTTTCTATTAACACAATGTTACGCTGAAATGCAACTACCACAGAATCCCCTGTACTTTCAGCCTTCCTTTATCTTTAATAACCAATTTCAAAATACTGCAATTTACAAATTTAGATCTGATCAGAACTTCAAAAAGGGAAAGGTAAAATGGCCTTATCTTTAATTTTGCTATTGACTACAACCACAAAATTAATTTTATTCTCAAAAGTCAGTGATATTCAATGTCAGGCAATAGAACATTTCTAGCAATTATATGCAAGCATTTCTAATACAAGAACAATGCAGATTAAATGGAGCCTCATTCTCCCCAGTACACACAAAACAATTTTTAAAAAAAAAAAGTATTAAGTCATCTCTTTAAAATGTCTCAATATAATCTCAAATTATAATGAAGTTTAAAATCGAACAAATTAACTGTCTTTTAAATGATGGCCAATCAAAAAAAAAAAAAAATCGATTTTCCAACACTACTCTGAACAGCTCGTGCTATACTAATGAATAGAATTAAATATTAGCCACAGTTTCTTAAGTTGAGTCTCTTCTACTCAATCCTCTTCTGTAATATTTCAGCTCATCAGTAACCAAAAGACTGCATCAGTATACTTAAATATCAACGATTTATACTTACTGCTCTTGTTGGGTCTCCAAAATCAACCTTCAAACGCCCCATGGCCCTGATTATAGCAATGATGGACTGAATTGTATTGCTATAGACCACCGCTTTATATTGTTTGCACTCCTCCTCAGAGTACCCATCCTCATGAATGATTCTGCAAGGGTAAAGGCAAAAAAAAAATTAAAATTGAGCTGCAGAATTCAAATTTGAAATAAACTCAAGTACAGGACTGAAGACAACTAAATTAATGTGAAACCATATAAAAATAGTCAAATTACAGAAACTCAAAAGAAAATGCACTGTTAAACCTTCACTTAAAAAATTAGATCATAATTGAAGGTTACTTTAGGCTTATCAGGAGAAAAGAATTAACTACTTCTAGTTAGTAATGTGAAAACAAGGTTATTTCCACGATGAACCACAATCTTGAATCTCCTCACTCAATGTCAACTCCAACAACACTAGCAAATAGTTCCACAAGACATGGCACTGAATTGACCTCCTTGACAATTCGGTCTAATCTTGGAAAATAGCATTGCTGGTACTGACAGGTATAAACATGCACTGCACTGGTGAGGTTTAGTGGAATTCTATAGAATCTGTCATGCAAAATCAATTATATCTGCATTTCACAAAGGATTTCATCTGCAGTTGGAATTTGTCGTGAAGTACGTTGTCTCTGAAAAGATCCTAATCCAGACCAAAAGTAATGCGTCTCTCAAACAGCAGCTTTTCAATCAAAGTTCAGAGTTTGACATTGGGCCTTACTATCGGGTGACAAAGTTTCTTCCAAGTACCAAACTACATTTTCAAGTATCAAAACTTTAGGGGACAGCATTTTGAACAGGAAGATGCACTTTGCTTGATCAAACCTAGTTATATATCGTCTTTTAAACCAAGGGAAATGGCCAAGATATTTGTCCAGAAATCGAGTTACACACAAGAGCAGGCACCACCCTGTAATAGGATCAGAAACAAATAAGATTTTATCGATCGTTATTTATTTTTGTTGGTAGTAACTACAATGGTCATCAAATCTGAAAGTCTTCTTAAAGCATGGAGGAGTAATTTCTTTTAGTTTATCAACAGTGACAAGTAAGATGTTGCTTAACTTTCAAGTTTTGGTAAGGGTCACCCTGTACTAAATGACGTCTAGGAGACCAAAGGCCAATGCACAAACACTGCAATCAGTATTCCTTACCCTTTAATAAGCAACTTTAAAGAATTACATCTATAAAAGATTGAATAGTAGCATGAAAAGTTATGAACATTAAACTGAGGTTTTATTGCATTCTGTTAATCTTATATAGAGAATAACGCACCTATTCACATTGTGTAACTATAATGAACGTTACTCTTACTGTTTGAGATATGATAAAAAATGTAGAGAATACAGAGCTTCCTAATATGACATGAAGAAAAGCAACAGACACAATTAACAGAAGTTACTACAGTTCTACTTAATCTAAATGTAGAGTATTACTCATATTGGTGTTTCAAAGGTCTACACTGAAGTGTGCACTTCATTTTAAAACTTAAACAAAATTCAATAAATTATTAAAGATGTATAAACTGCTTCAGACTCACTTCATTTGTTTTACAATGGTACTTTTCCCAGATTCTCCGGCACCTGCAAAAGAAAAATATAACTACTATCACATCTCAGCACCTTCACATAACCTTCAATTGCAACAAACATACTTAAAAATAGTCACAACTAAACACAGAACCTTCACTGTTGAGGTTGGTTAGCTCGCCGAGCTGGTTTGTTGTTCCGCAGACGTTTCATTACCGTGCTTGGTAACATCCTCAGTGCAGCCTCTGATGAAGCGTCGGTGTGTTTTCCCGCCGGGTTTTAAACTCTGGGGTCCATTGCGATGGATTGCCTCACTTCCGGGTTTCCTCCATAGTGGAAAGTATATGGGGTTGAGTTCAATGTGTTTATTAATAGCATGCTTCGTGGAGTGCCATGCTTCCAGGAATTCTCGTGCTTGTCTCTGCCTAGCCTGTCCCAGGATCTTGGTGTTGTCCCAGTCGAAGTCGTGGTTCTCCTTGTCCATGTGGATTGAGAGTGAGTGAGTATTGGTTGTGACTTTTTGTAGCCAGTTGGTGTTCATGCACTCTTGTTGTTAGTTTCCTTCCCGTTTGTCTGATGTAGTGTTTCCTCGCAGTCTCTGCAGGGGATCTTGTAGATGACACTGGTCCTGTCCATTGCGGGGAGTGGGTCTTTAGTTCGGGTGAGTGCTTGTCTTAGGGTTGATATGGGCTTGTGTGCCACTCTGATGCCCAGCGGTCGTAGAAGTCTGGTGGTGAGTTCTGACATGTTCCTGATGTAGGGTAGTGTGATAAGTGTGTCGGGGTGTGTAGAATCTTTCTGATGCTGTTCCCGTAGGCATCTCCTGACCCAGTTCTTTGGATATCCATTATCCTTGAAACTTGGAAGAGGTATTCCTCCTCCTCTTGGCATAGTTCTATGTTGCTGCAGTGTGTTGTTGCCCTTTTAAATAGTGTTCGCACGCAGCTTCGTTTGTGTGTGCTGGGATGGTTACCATTGAAGTTCAATACCTGGTCTGTGTGTGTGGTTTTTCGGAGTACTTTCGTTTGCAGTTCCCCATTTGTCTTGCGCTCTACCATGACGTCCAGGAATGGGAGTTGTTTGTTCTTCTCCTCTTGTCTGGTGAATTTTATTCCGGTGAGGGTGTTGTTTGTGTCTCTTCTAGTGTGGTCCGTTTAATGATGACAAAGGTGTCGTCTACGTAGCGTATCCATAGTTTAGGTTGGATTTACGGAAGGGCAGTCCTTTCCAGTCTTTGCATCACTGCTTCTGCTACGAGTCCGGAGACAGGCGATCCCATGGGTGTCCCGCTGATTTGCTCGTACGTTTGGCCGTTGAAGGTGAAGTGGGTGGTCAGGCATAGGTCCAGTAGTTTAAGCATGTTGCCCTTGGAGATGGTTTCACTGGGTTCGTGTTCTTGTTCAAGTAGTGTTGTCATTGTTTCCCTTGTTAGTGGTATGTCTATTGACGTGAATAGGGCGGTGACATCAAACGATATCATGGTCTCTTCGTTCTCTATCTTTACGTCTTTGATGGAGTTGAGGAATTCTTGGGCCAAGTGGATGGAGTGGGGCGATTTGTTGACTAGGTGCTCGAGTCTTCTTTGTAGTTCTCTGACTAATCTGTGCGATGGAGTGCCTGGTAGGGAGACTATGGGTCTGAGGGGGATTTCCGGCTTGTGCACTTTAGGGAGGCCGTAGAATCGCAACAGAGCCCAGAGTTTAAAAACCAGGCGGGAAAACACACCAACGCTTCATCAGAGGCTGCACTGAGGATGTTACCAAGCACGGTAACGAAACGTCTGAGGAACAACAAACCAGCTCAGTGAGCCAACCAACCTCAACACCCACAACCTGAGCTACAGATCTACTCCAAAACCTTACAGAACCTTCACTATTGTGCAACAGTGCCAACAAATGTGACACCTGTTTCAGAATATTCCTACTGGTTCTCTGAACATGCTGGGGATATATCAAAAGCAGAAATAATAGTGAAAGCAATTAAAAGTTTAAAAAGAATCAAGTATCAATAAAACATCAGTAGTGCATGTAACTCAAATTCAAGAAACAATATTTTATTATTTAAATACATATGTATTTGAATTTGGGTTATCTGTAAAGACATGAAACTGTCAATGTTTCAAAAGTTATACATTCCTTCATAGCTGTTGAAACAATGTTCATTCATAGTCTGCGATGTGTAACTAATATAGAAAGTAGAATAAAGAGCACAAGTTGTTTCTTATCCTGTAGATTTTCTACAGGCTCATGCTTTGGAAGTGTGTCAGCTAACAGGATATTTGGGATGCTAATACAAGGGAGGCAAACTTCAATTAGACTGAAGAGTTATTAATAAGCAGCATAAGCATCAAACAGGAACTGTCAGTTAAAGTAAATTATACAATATCAAGTAAGGTAAAGAAAGCTAAATCATGATAAAGGAAGACTGGATAAAGAGTAACGAATGGGATACCAAAAGCTCCAATTATAATCTAAAAGGAACGCATTCAACACTTCAGTTACTTTTTCAGTGACAGAGGTTGCTTGGCTATAACCGAGATATTATACGTAGGTCAAAAAATGGGATTCAAATTCATGGGACCTTGAAACAAGTACTGGGGAAGGACGGAGCTGTTCTAATTGGACAGGCTTTATTTGAATCATGGCAAACAGCACAACTAGGGCTGTGGCTAGGACTTTAAACTAAATAGTGGAAGGACGAATTCAGTTGCATGGAAAATAATGGAAAAGGTTGGGAGGGCTCAGCAGAGGCATTTGAAGTTTCCAGAACAAGTAATAAGACAGATTATGGAAATGGTCAGGACATATACAAATGAATTGCTTACTTTGTTTCACATCTGCGTATTTTCAGATTTTTCCTATTTTTATCCTAGGCTACTTTCTCAGGTGGACACAAAAGATCCCGAGACATTATGTGATGAAAAACAGGAAAATTCTTCCCAAAGATCTGGATAACACATCCTTCATTCAACTTAAAAATACTTCCTTAAAAATATTATCAAGTTATTTTTGTGCTGTTTGTGAGACCTTGATTTGGATGCAAACCTGGCAGCAATTTTACAATATAGTTGGTAAACTTCTGAAGAATTGCTTTGGCTTTAGGAACTGCCGATTGACTAAACAGTTGGCCATTACTTCAACATCATCTTACATAAGGTTGTAGACACACTCGCCGAGCCAGTGGGTTTGGTTGCAAACGTTCGTCACGCCGCTAGGTAACCTGGTCAGTGCGCCTCCGGTGAAGCGTCGGTGTTTTGTTCTGCTGTTATTTATATGCTTCGGTTTGCCGAGGTGATTGGTATTCCTTCTGGTTTTGTTTCTCAGTGATTTGTACACCGGGTCTAATTCAATGTGTTTGTTGGAGTATTTGTTGGAATACCAGGCCTCCAGGAATTCCCTGGCATGTCTCTGTTTAGCTTGTGAGATTTTCAATGTGCTGTCCCAGTCAAATTCGTGTGCCTTGTTGTCCATGTGTAGTGAGAATCTCTTGGGGGCTAGTTGGCATTCAACAAGCGGGACAGAACACCGACGCTTCACCAGAGGCTCACTGACTATGTTACCTAGCAGGCTGACAAAACGTTTGCAATCAAACCCACCGGCTTGGCAAGTATGTCTACAACCTCATCCACAACTGGAGCTACAAATCTTGTCAAAAACTTTAAATCTGCTTACATAAGTTGCTGTCAAATTTTGTTCGATAATGCTTTGCTGTTGGGACATGTTACTGCTTTAAAAGCACTACATAGTTTGTAATTTGCTGATGCTGAGGCAAAGCCACAACCAGTCACTAGTCAATGCTGCATTGTTTACATTACCAGTTTGTTACACATTTCAGCTCTTGTTAATTGCAAAATGATGCCATATAGAGAGAACATCTGGGCTGAAAAGTGCAGACCAGTCCCAACATTGTCGGCAAAGCTGGAGTACAATCACAACCTTGTTGCAATTCTAGTGAGCCTCTAATCTGCTCCATTACTAGATGTCAAATCGTAAAATTTATATCCACATTCTTTGTACTATAACTCTTTCACCTTCTTCAAAACTTGTGGCTTTAAACATTAGTTTTCAGAATTCACTGACCAGTCCATGTATATATTTTTGTCATTATACTCCAGGCACAGAATTTATGCCCCTCAGGGCAGTTTCCAAAGATTAACACATACGAGAAATAACACAATCATCATCAACCCACATCCTCAGCTCAAAATACTGCCTATTAACATGCTCTAAAGCCGCTTTTCAAAATGCAAACTGAATCAAACCCAAAACACAAATTTCCCTCATGGTTTTTATAATAAATGTTTATCTTGTTTGTTTTACCCCCAACGGGTTATGTCATCGTATTTTAGATCGTTTCCATACGAGACCTAAATCTCAATCTTGAAAAGTTCTATTCATTAACCTTGAATCTAGGTAGAGTTTAAAATTCTTTCCATGATGAAATCTTATTTACCTGGTTAATGAAATTACAATTACACCATAAATCCATGGTAAGCAACATAACGTGGTACCTCATTTCAAGTATAAACTAAAACAAAAGACTAATTTTACTACATTAACAGAATCTGGTCAAAGTGGAGTGGGAGCAGCTACTTGCAGGAAAATCTACAGGGCAGTGGGAGTCATTCAAAAAAAGAAGCAGAGAGCGTATACTCCTGTATAGGCGAAGGGGACAGTGGGGAAGGATGCACGGGATTGGATAAGGAAAAAGAAAGGAAGTTTATGGGTGATATCTAAGGACTAAAAACAGCAACAGCAATAGTGGAAAAAATGCAGAGTATTACTTTGAAGAAAAAGTTAAGGAGTAAAGTGGGGTCATAAATTCACTGCCACAGAAGGCTGTGGAGGTCAGGTCATTGAGTATATTTAGGATTGAAAAAGGTAGGTTCTTGGTTATCAAGGGGATCAAGGGTTATGGGGAGAAAGTGGGAGAATAAGGTTGAGCAACTTGTCAGCCATGATTGAATGGCAGAGCAGAATCAATGGGCTGAATGGCCCAATTTCTACTCTATGTTCTTATGACTAAAAGAACACTGGTGGGTAAAATAAAGGATA